GCAAGACCCAAGATCGATCCGGCCAGTGAAGGCAAGATCCAAGGTTGCTCATCCGACTCACTAGCCGGATCAATCTTGACCAACTCAAATACCTAATTATATTTGTTGCTAAATCGTTCAGTATGTTGAATATCATAAGTTATTTTGCGTATGCGTTATATGAAGTCAGATGTTATGCAGTATAGTGTAGTGTGCACTGACAACTATTAAATTCCACGACAGATTCATCAACACAGACGATATTACTCGATCTCCAATGCGAAAATTTAATTGACATTTTTTAAAATAACTTCTTAGGAATCTATTCGAAGATTTACTCTGCAAGCTCTGTAGCTCTTTCATCTTTCAGCCCTTCGCGCTTTCTCTCTTGTTCTTCAATCCCACATAGCTTCTAAAAATATACGTTAGAGCATTCTTGCAAAATAGATCCTTTATAATTTACGCTACTATACTAAGTAGACAAATATTCTTATGCAGCGAGTCAGACTTTATAATGTAATAAATCACTTATGAACCTAAGAGAGCGCTTCTTTAACTGCGTAAGACACAAATGTAGTTCAATGAACAAGGTTTAAATAAAAAGACAATCAAAACATTGATTTCAATTAATAATTAATCATTTTGTTCACCGAACCTAATTTACGCGTTAGTATTACTAAATATTCCAACTATTTCGGTTACATTAACTAAAGGATTTATTTACTCATATCTCCGTACAAAAGATTTTACTCAGCCGAATTTTATTTTATTCAAAAAGTGGGTCTCTATTTAGTATGCAGTCTTTAGCTTTATACTCTCTTAGTATTCAGCTTTGCGATCGTGGAATTATAATATCGTATATGCGTATATATGTATATTTCTTGTTCACGTTCGAAAAGCGTCTTATCGAGAAAGATGCGCGGATTTAAATCCCTCCATAAATACCCGGACGCGATCGCGGAAAGGGCGACGAATGTGCGAATACACGCGGAACAATGTCCGATACATACCGCCCGCGCGATCTTCCGGGTAAATCGCGGGCTATTTTTGGCACGTTGGCAATTAGTGTAGTTAAGCGAAGCCGACCCAATTTACAAATTCGCGCGCGTTATTATTCGTGCAGAACGCGAGGAATGCGGCAAGCGAAAAAAGAAGAGAATGCAACACGTATCGTCCGACAGCACGTACATTATGTAGAAAAAAAAACAAGTTGTGCATCATATAATGTAAAGAATAACAAAAGTGTATTTAAAAAAATATTAAAAACTCCTAGTAACATTTCAGGATTTATCACGTTACAGCATCTCTAGCCCTTTTTATATTTTTTATATAAAATCATTTATATAATATTTACGTATTATATAACATTACGTATAATATTTGTATTTGTGTATACACATTATAAATTATTGCGACATAATCATATTATGTTACTTGTATCTTCTGGTCAGTACATTAAAACTAAATTCAATAAACTGCTGTATTATGCCGCATCGGACAATAAAGAATTAAATCGCAGAGTAAATTTTTGAAAAAAAAAGAGAGATGTTGCAAACAACAATTGCTGAAAAGTAAATCCAAAAATATAAATGAAAATAAGATAAAAATAAACAAATAGCGCGCGCGTAGCGCGTGCAAGTTGCTCTAGTATATTAAAAATTCGCTGATATTTTAATAAACGCCTAGCAGTTTGTAAGGATTTACGCTGTTTTCGTTTTCCAGTTGAGCGCCAGTCGAGTCACCCGATCTCAGTTACCTTCGGTCAAATCTGCTGCGTCGAGTCACCAAGGCGTCGATTATAAACAATCATGTAATATGCGTACACCGAACGAGGGGGAAGGGAGCGCCCCGTTTCGACGGTGTATTCTCTTGCGAATTCCGAATCGCGGATATCTCATGCGCGATAAGATCGCGCGGGTTCGGGCGGACAGGCGGAATTCGTAAGCGAATTTCACCGCCGGAGTTTGTTTACACGTAGCGCGGCCCCCGTCTGCCGCCGTCATGGCTGGAGTTACGTATATACGGCGCTCCTGAAATTCTATTTCGGTTCCACGAGAGACGTGCATATTTGGCCTATTATCGCCCTCCGCGACCCGCCCCCCCCCCCACCCTCCTAGCGCCAATCGGACGGCGGCGGCGGCGCCGCCATGATCGCGCTGCCGTTCGGCACGTAGGCACGCCGGCGACTCGTTCGCGCGGCACGAGAGACATCTACAGGTCGGCCGACAATCCACTCGTATTATCGTAGGAGTTTACCGAACATTCATAACGCGACACAATTGTTTTTGTACAAATTCGATTGTTCGACAAAGGTTAGCAGCCTACAAGGATAAAGTAAAACCAAATGCTCAAAGTAGCGTCTATGTGGATTATTCACAGTACGTTTGTACAAATCTTTTGTTTTTAAACAGCACACAAGAATCGGCCAATGCGAGTCTGAGGCGAGATGTAGATAGCCCCTGTACTTGTAATTTATTAAAATGCGAATTCATATACCCGCTTCTTTCCACATTTGTCCTACGCGCCGGTTTCTTTTCGACAGGGTTGGAAAAGTTACTTCGCGAAAGTATCTAGTTTTTTTCGTTAAAAATTTAACTAGTTGCAGTTACAAGTTACCAATTCTGAAAAGTAACGCGTTACAGTTACTCAAAAAGTAACGAATCGTTGCTTTGCAGTTACTTTCTTGCAATGAAAATAAAAATATCTAATTTGCGTTTGAATTATTAAGCGTCGATAAAAGCGTTTATGTGGAAATGCAAGACCTAACGCGGTCTGTGGAGGTTTAAAAAATACATAAAGTAACTATTAATGTAACTATTAAATTAGTTACTAGTTGTCGAAAAAATGTAACTGAGTTAAGTTACAGTTGCAGATGGAGAGAAAGTAACGAAGTTAAGTTAAAGTTACCAAAAAAAGTTACTGTAACTTCGTTACAAGTAACAAGTTACTTCCCAACCCTGCTTTTCGGACATAACGCACTTTTCTTACGGGAGTTATTTTCGTCGGTAAATTCACATATTCGAATCGATAAACGATTTGTAATTATATTTAAAATTACATTTAGCATTCAATCCCGCCCTTTTTCCCCGTAGTGCAAATTATTCTTATTGCGAGAAATGTTATCTCAGCCAGGCTTTTATTTTTAATGCGTTTAGACTCAGAGTTACGCTCCAAAATCTCCTACTCCGAGGAATTTATTGCGCACAGGCGTGGTATAAGCTGAGGGTGAGTTATTCTTTTAGAGGAATAATATCTAATTTTAACACAGGTAACTTAAAACAGATTAGCTTCAAAAATTGTAAAACCAACAGTCCGCTGAACGCGGCTAATGTAGTATACATATTATATTACTATGAAAACGTTATTTCTTTGGTATACACGTCCACCGTACTTGAGGTATACGCCCGACGTGTGCTTCCGGTGATGTCATTTTACGTCGTAAAACTAACCCAATGCATCTACTTGATTATCTGCGATATAACATGCTCCCTCCTAGTATTCTTTATTCAATGATTGGACGTTGCCCGATTACATCGTATTTATTAGATCGTTTTGACTTTAGCTGACTTGTGCAGAGCACATTAATCTCCCCCCCCCCCCCCTGCGGTTCAATTTCTTTGCAGGATTCCGTCTCGAAATGATTCAATTTTATTGCGTGGATAAGCTAATAGCTTCTACAATCATCTCACACGCTGAACATGAGTTTTCCGTAAGTTCCACACCGTCTTGGACTCGCCTGCAGTATGTATTTGTTTCTGACGCTTATTACTTTAATTACTTCATTTTCTTTTTTAATCCGTTAACAGATTAAAGGACCGATGTGCGATAGAGAGTGGACCTATCAGTTACACTGTGCTACAAGCATTCGATTTGACACCGACGTGTTCGTTTCAATTTTGAAACATTTGAAACATTTTGCAGTCACTCTTCATCACGCGGCAAATGTAATGGTATCCTTATTAACCGCCGATACGCATCATCGAGATTCACTCGCCGGAACTCGACGATGCGGAATGCTCGCGATTTACCGACCCTCCGACCTACGCGCTTTATCGACGCCCGAGAGGGCAGCTTACCTCTTATCGGCGAGCAGTGTCACGTGTGCAATACAAAATTAAAAAATAAATATAGAATGCACGGAGAGAGAGAGAGAGAGAAAGAGAGAAAGAGAGAGGATGCACGGGAACGATGAACCCTGCGTGTGTGTACGTCATGCAAGGGCCGACGCCCCCTTCTCAAGGCGAGCAACTCTTGCGAGAGAGATTGCGGAATTTTTTCTGTCGGCGCCATGTTTGCCGTTCGTCGGTCGGGTCCTTCGCCCTTACAGCTTTCCTAGGACCTGCCTTAAGTGACCACGGGACCTGCTCTACGTTTAGAATTACGCGCGAGAAGCAAAACCCAGCGTTTTTGCTCGCAGTTTGCATAGTCGTTTGTTCTAGCTACTGGTTTTCGTTTGCCGTTTCTTTTCCTTATGAAAACGATTGGACCCCAGCAATTTTAATTTTAATAAAAGGCAAAGATGATTATAAGCCTCTTTCGCTAGTACAAATATTTAAAAGACATCAATGAAAGATTTCTGATGGAAGAAATATTTCTCCGCAAAGTTTCGGAAAAATAAACAGACACGATCATGCTTGTCAAAAAAATAAACTCGATTTTACCTTCGGTTAATTTGGAATTTAACATCTTTAATAGAGTCTCACGATAAAGCTTGAATGAAAAAAAAAAATCAAATCTATTTTAACAGAATGGATGCCAGTGTTTAGTAGAATTGGTTTTATTGAATTGTAAATATAAATTTTTATTTAAGTTTATATCGCTTTGTTTCACTATGTTCATTTATTTCGATTAATAATTTCATAATTAACTTTATCTTACCTTATTTAATTTATGTCACTACAATCGAAATCACGAGATACTCACGCATCGACTGTTGCATGATAATTTTGCAATAGGATATCACCATTCTCTCCTTTTGCAGTGCATATGATTAATTAAAAAAAAAAATTATTCGCACTCACCATTGGAAGGCGTTGAAATGGAAGTAAACGAGACCCAGGCCGTATAGAAACGAAGCGTCCTTCCAGTAGTCGCCTTTTAAAGCGTAGAACTTCTGATATGCCGACATCGCTGTAACAAGAAAAAAAGAGAGGATGAACCCATCGGAATAAGTTTGCCCCGCGATAATGAAAATCGAATAAAATAAAAATCGTTTGACGATTTAAAGGAAACGTATTAATCGGTGGAATTTGATCCGAAGCCCTAGGAAGCTCTCCTATTCGTATGTTCGACAAGTTTTTCAATCGCCAGAATGTCAACAGCCTCGAGTTTAATGCCACACGACTCCCTGATATCTCACTATTTGATTTATTCAGGGTAGTCTTTATTTAAAATAGAAGAAAATAGGAAAAAAACATTGGTCCGTTCGCTCGAAAGAATGTTTTCAATTTCATCGATTCGCAAATTGGAATTAATTTTAATTTAGATTTTCTTTTATTAATACTCTGCTTCGGTTAATCAGAAATTTAATATCTTTAGCGAAGTCTCGGGATAGTTTGAATTACAAAAAAAAATCTATCGAATCTCCATCTTAACGGAATGTCAGTTTAATAGAATTAGTTTCGCTGATTATAAGTTTATTTAAATTTATTAACTTGAATTTTGGACGGATGTGAAACTTTCCAGGCTGTTTCATAAAATGTCTCGCGCTTCAAGAATCGTCTCACTTGTCTCCTTTCTCCTTTTGGAAAGAATAAACTTTGTCAACTTGAGATCCGGTCGTTCAAGTAAGCGCCACGAGTCTCAAGAAAAAAACTCACGACGCGAGGGCAAAACGGGGAGGAAGCCCGTACCTTTGCTGTGATCCTCCAGGAGCAGGTGGAAATGTCCCAGTTTGCAGTACGTCTTGGGATCAATGCTTATTCCCTTATCCTCGTCCTCGTTCTCCTTGTCGTCCGGGCACACTTTTGTACTATCGGCTTTCCTGCGTTGCTTCTCCGCCTGTGCCTGAACCAGCATGCGCTCCAGGTACTTGATGGCGCGCACCACCAGGGCCTTTTTCTTCGACTGCTCCGGAGAGTTCAGCTTGAGGAAGCCGAACTGACGGCTGTGCGTGCAGACAAGAGAGAAAGTTATTGCCTTCGCGTCGAGCATTGTTCTATCGTCATACGTTAGCTCGCGCCTTAGAAACTCGGGGCGCCGCGACGTCTCGACCACCGGCACGATCGTGCCGGCGGTCGAGGGACCCGCGGCGCTTCCACCCGCGCGTCGTCGCGAGACCTCGGAGAGATCTCGCGGCGTAGCCGCGGAATGTGGTACGGTCGGGAACGCGCAAACGGTGTCAGTAGGTTGCGCGCGAGCGCGCGCTGTCAAGCGCGCGCGTTTCTAGGTTATACCGCGACGGAGCAGATGACCGGGGGGGGCGTCGGCACCCGCGGCCGTGGGCGGGCGGCTCGAAACACGCGGAGATACCGGGCGGAGTTAATCACCTGTCCAGCTCCGACAGCGTCTGCAACTCCTGCGGCGTGAGGTTGATGTCGTCGGTGTCCTGTGCCATTTTACGCACGCACGCTCCCCTTCTCTCACTCTCTCTCTCGTTCTCTCCTCGGTCCCGGTGAGATATCGCGCGCTATCAACATCCGCGGCCCGCGCGACACGGAAGCCACGGCGGCGACGATGACTGCGGCGGCGGCGACGACGGCGACGACGACGACGGCGAGCCTGCTCCGGAATCCTGCGTCGAGGAAGTCGCGCGCGCGCGCGCGATCATACGCGAATCAGTCTCGCGGCCGCGGCGCCGTCACCTCATCGCGACGAGCCGAGTTATCGGCGAGATAGCGGTCGCGGAGACGACGACAGCGACAGCGGCGGTCGTACGAACTGACGTGAACGCGCACAAATCCGAACCGCCGCGCGAGTCACGCCTCTCTCGCGCGCCGCCGGCAGCCGAACGCTGTCACGAGACGCCGACGAGTGCCGAGCGCGGCCGAACGCGGAGCCGCCGCAGCGGCGCCGCCGGAGTCACGTGGCTCCACCGCCATCTTGAATCTCGGTCGGGCGGTAAATTTGAACGCTCTCCCGGGCAGCGAAGAGAAATTCAAAGTATCACCAGAGAGTTAAGGCCTTGACACATAAAATTCCGTAAGGACGTAAAACGTAAGCATAAGAAAATCGACCAATCGCAGTCGAGAACGTAAGGCAATAACGCAAGCAGTAGCAAATCCAATCTGTTTTCTTACGCTTACGTTTTACGTCCTTACGGAATTTTATTGAATAAGCGAAGTTACATGAGAGAAATCAGCGACTTCTGTAGTTTGTGCGAAACATAGGCCGGTATTCATAGTCGGATCTTATATTCAAGACCGTCTTGAATTTATCTAAAGATGCTGTATGGAACATTTGATTGGTTGCGGAGTATCTAGAGATGATCTTAAGACGGTCTTGAATATAAGATCTGACTATGAATACCGGTCATAGCGTCCACCCTCGGGATAACATGACAGAATATTACTGTACCGGTAGAAACGAGCTTAGAAGCCTGCGGTAAGAGGAAACGTCTCTTCGAAAATCTGCGTGTGTGCGAAACGACGTAGAGTCGACGAAAAAATAGTTTAAAGCCCACTTTACACGATCTATAATTCGCGACAGAATTCAAGATAGAATTCTATTTTATAATTTCATATATTAAATTGACATATGTTTGTAGATTAGGTTAGTGTAGGCTATAACATTTACATATGGATGAGGTCCGTTTTCCCTGCCGATTGGACACAAATACTCACAGCAATCAATGCTTAAAGTTTTTCATTAGACCAGATACAATTAATCAATCACGCATTTTCATGCACTACACATATTTGATGCATCTTTTCTATTTACAAAATTGGAGCATTATAATTATAATTCTGTTCAAATGTTTTCTGTATTACGCGATACATAAAAATTTAAAAATGGAATTCTGTCTCGAATTCTGTTGCGAATTATAGATCGTGTAAAGTGGGCTTAAGAGAAGACACACGCTCACAAAAAAAAATTGACGCTGCATTACCGAGGCGCCAATTTCAAGCGTGATCGCGCGTAAATTTAAACGAGAGGAGTCGCGCGTGAAATAATCAATTGCGTAGAGCTCAAGTAACCGAAAATAAGAATAATAAAATGACATCGAGCATACGAATTGGAGCGCGGGGAGAAAAGAGCGAGGGCGAGGATTCAATCCAGATACGTCGCGTGCGGTTCAAATTCGAGCGAGCGAGGCTCGGAGAGAGGAGCAAGGTGCAGAAGGTGCAGGTGAAACGAACGAACCTGTGTCGGGGACCGTCTGGTGCCCTCCGAGAGCCGTCGTTTACGTCAATTCACGCTCGTCCCGACGGACCTCTTTCGACGGCTCGACCGTCGCGTCGCGTTCGCGACCGTCCACGAGCAGACGCTACACGTCGAACAGGTGAGCCTCGCGTGACATCGAGCCGCGCTCTCGCAGCGCGGAGAAACGCGCTCGATAATTATGCCGGGCGGAGGAAGTGTCTTTCGCTCGGGACCGAGAAAGCGGTATAAGAGTCTCCCTTGTTTCGTCCCGGCGATGCGGTTTTCCTGCTTCCCTCCCTCCCCCTCCCCCCTTTCGGAGTCGAGTCTCGTTTCAATCGGTCGGAAATTTCCGAAACTCCGCCACGTTATTCTCCCTCTCTTTCTCTCTCTCTCGAACTTTCCGAAAACGAGCGCCGTAAATCTCCCTCTCGAAATTTCGTCATCGATATATTTACGTTTTCGTCACGAGTGACGACGGCGAGGACAGTCGCGCGATCCCCTTGTTCCGCGATCGCGCAGCGACTGTCGACGGGACGGGTGTTGGGGTCGGCGAGTATCGTCTCCGGCGAGCTGTTCTTCTCGCGATTTCACAGCGAAGGATTCGGAGGAGAGTTTGCCGGCCGAGTAGCTCGCGATTATTTCGCGTCTCGCGGGCGTGCGGGACCTTCCGCGTCAATTTCCACTGCGTCGAAGGCCGCGCGACACAAGACACGGCCCTCGGTTGTGACAGCTTGTATTCCCTTTTACAGCACCAAGATGCCTACAGCCAAAAAGAGTAAAGAGGACGCGAACAAGGAGGCCTACAGTATAGACGCCTCGCAGGAGGCCAAGTCCTTCCTGGAGAAAATCATGGGCGACGTGAGCAAGTCCTCGGCGACCAAACAGATCGTTATCGGCACCACGTCGGGATGGTACGAGACCCGCGGGAATCGTCACGATTGTTCGCACTTGTTCCGCGTACTAACCGCACGGTTTGTCATTCAGGGTGACCGGATTCGTTACCATGAAGATCGGGAAGGTGGCAGCCTGCGCGGTCGGCGGCGGGATCATCATGCTGCAGATCGCCGCGCACCAGGGTTACATAAAGATCAATTGGGACAAGATCGCGAGCAAGGCCGAGAAGATAACGGACAAGGTGGAGGAGAAAATTACCGGCGAGGGGCCGAATTTCATGGACAAGGTGAGACGAGTCGCCGCCTGGTGTTCTGCGACTTCTCTCGAGATTTCGATTGAAGAGAAGTGTGTGGGCGTTGAATAGCTCGGTAGGAAGGTCCCAGGCTTGATTCCTGGTCAAATCTACGCCCCAAAAGTTGTTGCGCGGCGCGTCTTAGCGCCTTGAAGATTTCCTCCCATAATAATTTATTATTGTGGAGAAACCGAAGGGTCAAGAGGCTCGCAAAGTATAAGCATATAAGACGGACACAGTTAACAGGCCAGTGGAGCTGAATGAGAATTAAATTCCAAGTCGATTCGATTAAAAGAAGCGTGAATATATCGCAGCGATAATTAGTGGACAAGAGGTTCAATGGGAAACCGAACGTTTCGATCTTCGAAAATTGACGAGTTAGATTGGAAACTTCTTATTAACGTCGTAAAAATCAGAGCTTGGTGTCTTGACTTTTTTTCATCAACGATACAGATACGAGATAAATTTTCAATCAATTCGTTCGTGAAAAGATACGAATGCAAGTTGCACTTGAGTTCTTTCGATTTTAAATATAAACACAGGATGCGCTGCATTATTTTTCTAGAGAAAAATACAGATGTCGATTAGTGTCTGTATATTTGTACTGGTATCTTTTCAAAAAAGATACGAAATATACAAACTCTAGTAAAAATAATGTATATCGAAGGTGATATACAACAGAGACCACTTTGGGAGTCACTAGACTTTGCCTTTAACTTCAACGTGCAAGTTACTTCCGTCTAACAATTGACAATTTACAGGAAACACATTTTGCATATGTTTGCTCTTTGTGTTTTTCTCTCTTTTTTCCCCCCTTACAAATACGATGTTTTTACTGTTTGCAGGTAGGGAAACTGTGGAGGAAGAACTCATTCATTGCCACGAGCTTTCTCGGCGGTTTCATTATCGGTCTATCTTGGTGAAGTAGAGAACATAACTTTGCAAGCTTTGTGCGTGAATGAACACTTAGTATGCTGTCACCATTTCTACTACCGTTTGCGCTTGCAGTCTTCCTGAATACAATAATATATATATCAATATTATTGAAATTTCAATATCAACATTAGCCAATAAAAATTGATATCGATATTAGTGTCCAATGAAGCTTCATAATATCAATATCATTATAATTTTTGTATATAGTCCCCTCAATAAAAATATATAATAAAATTGATCGTGGTGTGCAAGGATTTTACCAGCTCCGTTCCGACGTAACGCCGAGACACTGATGAGCATTGTCGCGTTCCAGGTCGAGCGATACGTCGATAAAAAGGTGGATAAGGCTGAACATTTGCTGAAGAAGGGGCAGACTCGTACGCGTCGCTGGTATCACGCGTTGACCGGCGGCGAGGATAGCTTCCAGCCCACGGAATTCCATTTCTTTCTAGTCTCGTTTGTGGCGGGGGTCGCGCTCGGTGTCGCTACCGCTAACTAGGTAATAAGTTGCTGCACTCTGAATGCAACCAGGAGAAAGATCGACATCCACGTCGCGTCGAAGGACAGCCGCTCGACTGCTATCGACGCGCACGACAATGTCGTCGACGAGTATAACAACACGATCATGGACGAGGTGAGGAACAAGATCAACGTGCTCAAGAAATGGGTGGCACGAACTACGCTTAATAATCCTAGATAAATAGCTTTATTTTTTAGTCTACCATTGATACTAGCGACGAGTAAAACCTGCGCTACAGAACTGCTTGTGCTTTTTCCTTTAGATCTTTAAACTGAGAGTACATTAATAGAAGAGGTTGTAGATCTTCAGTAAATTTTTCAAGATCAACTAGTAGAGTAAATTTTACTCGTCGCTATCAGTCAACGAATCAAACGTATGAAAGTCCCTAATGTTTTTTTTTGTCGTTTGAGTAAGAAAATTAATTGGTTCTTACTAAAAGACATTTTAGAATCTCGGCAATTTTGTATAGAACATATGCGAACCAATATACACAACGTGTGCATATGAAACTTATCGGGATTTCTTGTTCGTTCAGAATGCAGCAAGAAATTAGTCATTCTAGGATATAAACATTAGAATAATATTGTACACTACTTATATATTACTATTGTAAAGGATTGCGATTCCAATTTTTTTCGTTATCACTTATATACTTACTTCGCTAATCGCCGTGTATTTCCATCGCATTGTTTATATAGATCTTAATATGTATTGTCTACAATAAAAATTATTTAACGATACTCGCTGCAAATTTAACAATTTTTGGTCATTAACGATCTAGAAACAATAGAAACTGGAAACTGAAACTAATGCTGCTAAATATGTGCGCAAGCATTATTGTATTATTTCCAAACGTAGGTCAAATGTTTGTGAACAGTGCGTTGTATTTCTAAGTACTTAAAGATACCGCTCTTTATTTAGCAGAATTAGGTGATAAAAACCTTTTCTGTTACAGTCAATTTAGAAATTATTGCAAAGTCAATGCCTAAATCGCAGAATAAAAGTGAATGATGGAACAAATATACACGTGCTTTAAAACAATAAATTATATGTACGGTGTAGCAGTATAAAAAAAACATTGTCTCACAGAATGTCGGGATACTACAAAAAAATGTATATCAAAATCTTTTCAGACACTGCATTATTATACTCCTGAGACGTTTGCGGATCTTTTGATCGCCGTTGCAGCAAATGTGCGTAGAATTGTCTCCGATCTGAATTATGGTGTCTTCGTCTTGCTGCAAGTAGACACACGAATGTATAATTGTAAGCAGAGAATTTTTTTTATTTTCTACCGATTGTACTTGTATAATTGTCAAAAAGATTATTTTCTCTGTTTATATATTGAAAGAGCCGTCAACAAAACGTTGAGCCGTACCAAATGAATATTCGTAGACGTAGGATTGTGATGTAATTTAGCTCCTTGAAAGCCTTCCTGATGGAGCTTTTGCAGCAAGTCTTGCGGATCCAGATGCCCGTACTCGTGTTTACGCTCCTTCAGCACTTCCTCCATGGCGGGCGCAGGCGAACCCGACGGCATTTTCCTCTTTCCGCTCGGTTTGTCCTCGATGTTCTATAAATTTTACATATTTAGATGCGAAATTATATTGCCTAAACGAATAATATATTGCGCTTTTTTTTCTCTCTTCATTGAATCTCTTTTTCCGTTCGGCGAAGATGTATTCTGTAGAAGAGCATGCCGCAATACTTATCTCGACCATGAAATTCATATTTATCTTCACTCTATATATATTAGTAATTACTTTTATGGTATACACGTTGTCCTTGACCTCAAGCTCGCCGGTGACAGATACAAGGCTCAAGCCAGGTCGCACTTCACTCGGTATAATATTGCTAGCTAATTCCGGCTCAATAAACACACGGCCCTTCTTCCGCTTTAATGGCAATTTTATCACCTCCCCGCGTTTGAACGTAATCAAGGGTTTTTCCTTGAACAAAGAGATTACGCAAGTAATTTTATAGGACACGTTTTTTTTATATTTATACATTTTATAAATACGGTAGAGGGAGAATACGAAATAGAGATTGTAAGATTGAGTTAGGAAGATACCAACCCCGGATTCGATGGCGAGCTCCGGTCTGTTCGGTGCCATTGCAGGGGGCTGTGTGTAAACCTCCGGGATAACTAGATGCTCCGGCTTCAAGTCTCGTATGAGCTTGTTAGCCTGATTAAAATTCAGAGAGGTATCGATGGGACAGTGTACGGCTTTCATAGACAATGGTTGAAAGGGTGCCAGGGCGTCCAAGTACGGAAAGTCAGGCTCTGCAAATGCGAGGCAGAAGATAATATTGGCCACGTTACGAACAAGATGTGTGCGTACGTACGTCATATAATAAACAGATACGCAAGAGGTATTCGGAGAATGATGCAACTTGTAGCAGTTGTTTTGGAATATTAGAGATATTTAAAACTACGTTTAATCTGTACTACATACTCGCACACATTTCTTTGTTGCCTAATTAATATTTGTCTTATTTCCAGAGTGGCTTATAAAATATAGAATTGCAAACACAAAAAGATATCGCGTTACTCTCTGAATTACGTGTGTATGTACCGGTAAAAATCACGGTGTGCAGGGGATTGTTGCCCCACAGCTGCACGAAATGAACGGCGTCCCCAAATCGGAGACTGGGGTGGCCGCAGAAGACGACACAAGGCTGTCGATAATCGCTGCTGAATCCTTCGGCGTACGTAGATGTATAGTGCTTCAGTCGTGCGTTCTTTACGAGGAAAGCGTGTGGGAACGGTTCCTCCGGAAGATAAACTTTGTTCTGCTTAGTCGTCGACAGCCTGGAAGTAAAGGAGAACAGTAAACAGCGTAAGAAAACTAATAATGCAGTAGAACGAGACTATTTTCGTACCATTCAGCAAGGATATTCGAATAAGCCAAGGACGTCTCCGCCACCGGTGAAATAAAGAATAGAGGCACTTGCGTGAAGCCCGACTTGTCCAGGTGAGTGCTCAGACACTCGAATAAATCGTAGACGACACCAGAGGGATAACAAGGTATCAGGACACATCCACCGGCTCTCAGAGTCACAGCTGCAAAATTTTCACGCGGCGAGATGTAAGATCGCCTAAAGTTTTTGCAAGTATTTTTGCTCGGGAAAAATGACTAGCGATAAAAATTAATTGTAACGTAACAGATTTTTTTTTAAATTATATCTTTTATCGTTTCTCTAAAGGCCACGATGCCAGTATATCGAGTATCAGGAGAGCGTCTCTTCACCGAACGTGTTGCGTAATTTACCGGATATCGAGATACACACCAACAGTCATGCACAATTCCCCGAGCATTGTGTCCGGATTCGCGATCGGCGTTTGCGTTAAACCCGTCAAAATCAAGAGATTAGCGTGCTTCAACGTAGCCTGGTCCATAGGCTTCGGATGCGTAGTGAGCGTGGACGAACCGCTGACAAAAGCAACCTTTTCGTGGTCGCTAGATATCAACCAATTGCTGCTACCTAAACAAAAGCCCGAACTGATTGGTGTGACTGTTAGAGCGCCATATATATCCTGCAAGTAACATAAATTGAGTCGTTATTTGTGAAATAGTCGATAAATCGGAAATCTCAAGTTTGTCATAAATAATTTCCCCGAATACACGTATGTATGTGTGTGTGTCCGAGTTTAAAGCATCACTAAACGTTTCCAGTCGCGTGTGTTTGCCAGGAAATTAAAAATCGTTGATATAAATTCGCCCAGGAAGCAACATGTTAAATTCGCCTGTGGCAACTCACTAGCTTCTGATCGTATCCGACCATTTGAATGTTCGATAGCGCCGAGTTCACGGCCGATATGGAGTAAATGTGCTTCCAGGATTTTGGTTTGACGACCTCCGCCAATGGGGACGGCAATGTGTGCAACATGTCCTTCCAGTGTTTGGCCATCGTTGCCTTTGGAGTCCGCTCGATGAATTCCACCAGTTCCTCCATGAAAAACCGTCCGATTTGCAGCGTCGGTTCGGTGGCGTATATTATACCTTTGAATCGTTATATATGTATGTACAATTTTTGTGTATGTTACAATACACACAAATTTTCAATAATTGGAACACTATTGCAACAGCATATTCCTGAGACCAAATCAAGTAAAAAAGTTCTGTACTACTACTTTTCCCTGCGACAAACAGTTATCGAGATATCATAAGCTAAGCATTGAAAAAGTTATAAATTTTCTTTTGAATATCTCAAAAGTATCAGGCAAGTCAAGAAATGTCTCGGACAGAAGTTGTTCATATTAATTAGTAGAATAAGATAGCATAATAAACAATTTTAAAATGAGACACTCTGTGTACACATGTATAAAAGATTAATCCGATTCATGATTATATACTAGTACATATTGCATAATTACCTTTGAAACCCGTGCCCTCCGTTATGAAGGGTAACGCGAGCATGCACGTGTAGTTGGATATCAGAATGGCATCGATCTCGGAGAAATCAATTATTTTCTCCAGAGGGGGAGTGAACTCTGGTACCGAATCCACGAAGACTCTACCGCAACACTCTTTCAGCTCCTTAAAATTGAAACGGCACGTTCGCAATTCACGTTTAAAACAATTTAGTCCGCCATGTGACTTCGTAACAATAAGCAGACGCGGGTCGTCCGACTCTTACAATTAATTTAACAACGGCGGATCGCGTTTCTTCCCTTGTCCATCATGAACCAAATGTTACTTTTCAACATTGACTTTTAACTTGGTCAACTATTTTCGTTGACTAATGCCAAGTGAAGCACTTGTTTTTATTGCTACAGATTGCATACAGGAATTGATATTCGATATATTCGACATGTTGCCAGCGCGTTGGTAGAAATGCAGCAAAATCCGCTCACGTAACTGGACCTGCTCGGTTTCTACCGACCATCGGTTGACAGCGTATGTTTTACAGACTCCGTTGCCAAGACAAAAACTAAATGCAGACACAGATGGCTATGATTTCGGTGTGGTTTTCTGTGAGTTAGCATTTTGCTGACTAGGTACTGCCTTCCTTTATTAGTTTTACTTTACTAGAGCCTTTTAATCATTTTCTTTCCGTACAAAGACCTATATTTTAGTCCTCTCTTATCGATAGAAGCGCCCGTAAAAGATCCTTTCAACCAACAAGAATCCTTCGAAACCAAAGAGGACTTGGAATAAGGGCCTAGCCCAGTAGTAACTGTAGAAAGGATACTAACACCCTCGATTTGCCAATCCTGCTGATTGTCATTGCGCGGCAGCCACGTCGGCAAGGAGTTGAACTTGCTGCTGGGAACCATGGGCAAAGGCATGAAGTGCAAGATGGACTGCATATTCAGGCCGCAGTCCAGCATCAGCGTGGTTCCCTTGAAAGTTAGAACCAGGCATGGCTTGGACGGCTCGCTGGACAGGCAGTACTGAAAGAAAGCACAAAATCGCCGGTTAGCCTTCGTAAACGATGCGTCAACCTTGAATATTACCGTCACTAGAGATATGTAAATTAATTCTATAAACAACGCGTAACAATTTCTAGACGCCGAGTCTCGGGCTAGCGTCGTCATTCATCGAGCGTGATCTCTTAAATTTCCCTCGTCATTACCAGCCGCATCCTGGGGGTTCTTCGTCCGCACGTTCCACAGGGAATACGCCGGTTAGTCCGTTTCCGGCAACGAGAGCCTAAATTTCAAATCTCAAGCGAGTCGAGTCTCGTGCGCCCGAGAGCGTTCGCTCGGCCTCTCCGTCCTCCTCTCGCCTTCGGTTCAGACGAAACCACGTGGGCGCCACGCTCTCGCCAGCTCTCGCCGCCCGCCGTCGCGGACTGTAAACAAGACGCATCGAGTCGGCACGCCGATTTCCCCCCCGAGTTTTACTCGCGCGCTTATTTCACAACGCGCAGCAGGAATACGACGGCAAGAGTCGCCGCGCGACGTCACGGGCGACGCGACGAGCCGTTAAACCTGGGGCGGTTTTGAGGTTAGGTCGCCGGCATAGCCGCGCCGCTCCTCTCGGTCTCTTCTCCGCGACGGCCCGCGACGTGCGGTCATCCGCGAGAATGTGCGAGGTCGTCGTCCTCTTCGACGGATTCTCCCGGAGAACGGACGACGGAAATATGCGCGCGAATTGCAGCTGCACTCTGATAAAGGGCCCGAAGCTGATGGTCGTCGACACGATGACCGCCTGGGACAGCGAGAGACTGATAGAAGGTGCTGGAATAAAAACGCACCACGGTCTTGCAACATTTTTCGTTACTCCGCAAATGTTGATTCGTTAGTTTACGCCGTTTACGCTGACAGCCACCGAGATGGTCACAATAATTAATATATATGATTCGTTAAGTTACTGCTTGTTATAGAACTTGGATTACTTATTTTATTATAATAAAGTAAGACCAGTTTATTGAAACTACCTACACCGGCCAATGTTTTTATTTTAAGAAACTAACGACGTTTCGGTCCGGGATTTGGACCTTCCTCAAGTATTCTGCAAACATACGTAGCTTGACACTATTTTGTTTGAAATATAATAATAAAAAATATGGCGCGAATAATTTTGGCAGAAGCAAATTGCAAATCTATACCTTCTCACGCAATTTTCATTAATCACGTATCGCTATGTTAACAAGCTCCCAGATAACATGCATGTCTAAAGTCTAATCTACAATGTGCTTTCTGCGTCTAGAAACATTCTATTTTATATAAACAGATCAAAACACTCAACAAATTTGTCAACAATGTACGATTATGCAATGTATAATATACAATTTATCAACTTGCATAAATTTTGTAAACGTATACATTAGCTACAAAATAGAATGTTTCTAGATGCAGAGAGCACATTGTAGATTAGGCTTCAAAGACATCTTTTAGACATGCACGTCTAAAAAATATCTTAAAGACGTCTTAAAGAAGTCTTGAAGATGTCTTTTAGACAAGCATGTTATCTGGGCTGTGTATGTATGTACAAGCAAGAGAGTCATTGCACTTTACTTTGTTTCAAAGTAATAAATGTCAAGAGTGGATATAATAATAATAAATAGAAATAAGTAAGAATAAATAGGAATAAATATGAAATAGATAAATAAACACACATATTGGTCAAGAAATGATTGCACTCTTTGGTTGAAGAGTGCAAAGTCAATTTTAGTTGCGTTGTTAACTTTGTGACGCGAGTAAAAATGTCGAGATGTGTTGGACGAGAGAGATAGAGAAAAATTCAGTGACCAATGTAATCATATCTCACGGTAGAAATTTCCGCGGACAATATAATACATATACAATATACTTTATACGTAATAGATGTGTAACTTAACTACGTACAATATGTAATAATTTTTTTTTCAGCACTCGCACAGCACAATGTCGAGCCAAAGGACATTGATTATGTCATTTGCACTCACAGCCATTCCGACCACATAGGAAACAACAATCTGTTCCTAAACGCAATGCACATTGTTGGTTTGACCGTTCAGCGCCGTGATATATTTTACGAAACACCGCAGATCTCGAATGGTGGGTTTATTGAGATATAACGAAATTAACAGAAGCACCGTCGCTATTGAGAAAGTTAAACGTTTCTTCAGAGGATTACGAGCTCTGTCCGGGCGTTAAAGTCACAGCTACTCCAGGACACACGGCGGAGGACGTCACTGTCCTGGTGGAAACGATGAAGGATAGGGAACCACGGCTTGTCGCTATCACAGGTATCCATCCAGGTTTCACAGTTCACTGATGTATTTTTGGCAAGATCCAAAATGCACTGACGCAATCAGGAAGTCTACTTTTTTTTAACTTATAATGTATGTGTCTACATATCGCAGTGGCTATTCTGATTTCACGCTTTTACAGGGGACTTATTTGAGAAAGAGGAGGATATTCTGGCACCGGACATCTGGAAGTCGCTGGGAACACCGGATTTATTAAAAACTCAATCTGCCACGCGCTCTCGTATAATAAACCTCGCAGATTTTATAATACCCGGGCATGGGCCAATATTTCGCGTGACGGATAGAATGAGAGAGATCGTGAGCAGTCAAATAATTCAGTGAGACTGTAGGTAATGTTCGGTGTTAAAATTTTATCGTGCTAACAAATGTTTATGCAGAGCTTTGCAAGATACAATAACGAAGAAATGCCTAATAGACAAGTTTCATTTATCCTAGTACCATGAATAATTGCACGATATTAGAATAAATGGAAGTTGTTATTGATCTTTCTATTAGTATAGGAAACTCTGATAAAAATTTGTTTCATTACAGTCTGTTTTGTTTCTGGTTTCGTCTCGATTCATCGATTTTAATAAGCAACTTTTCTCAAATGGCAACCATCTTGGTTTACTTGGAAATTAAACTTTTATTAAAATCTATACATGCATCTGGAAATTAAATTTTAAACAACAAGAAATTGTACTTATTTATCAATAAGATTATTCTACAATCTAATGAAACTTTGCTAATTGAAGTCTTCTTCTGAATCTCTCGTTGATTTGCATACAAAAATATATATATAACAATTTGAGCAGTTTTCCATATATTACAATTGGACGGAAAAAGCATTTTACGAAGCACCTTCCGTTCTGCTGCTGATTTGTTACTGAACGACACTTACAATTAGTACATTTTATTTTTCCAACATTCACCGGTCGAGCGTATTAAAAGTATGGAAAACACGACGATAGCTTAGCAAATATATTAGAAGAAAAGCATAAACTGCTAGTGTCATTCGGTAGAAAATCTTACAACAGTTGCAAGTCTTTTCTGCTGAACCCAGCCGTTGTAAACTCACAATCACGTTGCTATTACATTATATTTATTATATATAATGTAACTATTATATGTATATTTTTTTAACATTACATATGCAATAAAATTAAAAAAATACTTTTATATATAAATATAAGTAATAAACATTACAGTGCGCAATGCACTTTACTTCATTTTATTTGTTTTTATAGTTTAATATAATATATCGTGTATCATTTTATAGTTTAATATAATATATATCGTTAATACATATAATTATCGCGTTACAAATGCAATTGCTGTAAATCTGAAACATGAGCGTGTTTTTTTACCTAACAAATCGTTCAGAAACGCACATCTCTTTGCTGTGTGATCTCAATACTGACAGTTACGATAACATCAATAATATAATTTCTCACTCAACAATATAAATGTAATGTAACACATGTTGTATGTACACAGCAGTTACATTGTCGAGCAAGGAATTATAATATTGACGTTAATGTAACTTAGTTGGTATTCACTGGGTATAGACGTTCGACAAATTTCGCGTGAAAAAGAAGAATGTTCTTGTTTGACATAAAAAAAACCTACTACCCCTGTAACACGTCCAAAAAGTTTTATACCTATAACACAGGGTGTATTAAAACCACCGGATATTGTTTTAATCATAAATTGTTTAGAAAATTTCAAGAGAAAAGTTCTATTAAAAAATGGTCGAGGCTATAATAGTTTTTATATAATAAGCGATTATATTTCACAAATGATAGGCCTGAGATTATCGTATATTGAGATCGCACGCTCAGGTATGGCGATATGACAGTATATACACCGGTACAACTGGCTGGTGATCACAGGAAGGTGGTGATGGTTATTGGCATGTGAATTCGTTGTAAATACTTCTCAAGTTTCTGAAATGAAATTTTTCTATGCAGAAGAATTTCTCCAATGAAGGAGACTGCTCAAGCGCGCAGTATATACAATACACTGAATGGTGTCCGTTCTTCCTCTTCTTCTTCTTGCAGATTATTATATTGAACACCTCAGCCTGCAAAGAATTTAAAAGATTTACCTTTAATAGCAAATAAATACAGAGCTTGATATCTTTTTTTAAAAGACACAGTTACAGATGCTATCTGTATCTAATCTACGGAAAAACACTTGTATCTATATCGAAGGAATTCAAGAAATGTAACTTGTATCTGTCTCTCTTCACTGAACCTATTGAAAATTTATCCTGTATCTGTATTCTTGATGGAAAAAGTCAAGATACCAAGCTCTGCTTAAATATCGCACAATGAAATATATATTGCCGGATGTATTGAAGTGGAAAACGTACAGCGCAATTGACGCAATAAATGGTACAATCCGGCTTGTCGCCGTCATGGCACAGCTTTTTCAAGCCCTTGTGTCGTACAAATTCACGTATCAAGTAATGGTGTTTCATCGTTTGCATGAGGCAATTCTTGATTAGCTGGAACAGTTGTGGATCCGATATTTTATTGCAGTACGCCAGATTCCAAGAGAGATACACCATCGGCACGATCGATTGGAATCGGCGCAACTTGTTCCATTCGTAACGTTCCAGCGCCAGTTGATATTGTCTGGCAGTGAATGGACCGACGTTCCACGCGATGTTGTTACAGCAACCTTTCGACTGCACCCAGTGTACGCAACCGACGTTCACCCACACGACATCACCCATTTTCTGATGAAATCTGTAAAACGGGATGTTGTTCTTGGACAAGATATCCAGATCCGGCGGCCACCAACTGTCGCGCATATAATCGACGCCGTTCTGCTCGCAGAGCGAATATATTACTCCCCAATACTCGTACGACACCGCAAACCACTCGCAGTCACTCGGTCCAATGTTAATGTTGACGGAACAGAAATTATTATTTTCTTGATGGCCGGGCGTTTTGCAATCGGGCACCTAAAGACCAATTATATAATACAACTTATACATCGTGTTTCAGTAATCGAATTGATTAAGACACCGATCCTAAATAGTAGGGTGATCCTGGTACGAATATAATTTTCTCAATCAATTCTTTACAGTTTACTTCTAAAGAACGCTTAATTAATGAATATTATTAAATTGATTATCAATTTAATTATGCGTATACTGTTTCGACTTCAATTTACCGGCGAGCAGTTTGCCGTGTTAAAAAAAGCAGGCGTATACGCAAAAATATATAAGACATTGTTATTATATGTATTATTTATAAAACGGTCAAAACTTATTACGACAATTATGAATTGAATCGACACTTTTCAAGTGTCGTGGATACACACATCCCCGTTCTAATTATATCAAATATTTAATTGTACCTTCATGTACAACTGTACGGTGTTTATCCCTAAGAGATTGTATCCCACGTAATTGAGCATATTATCGGTAGATTTCACTTTGAGGAAGGACGGCAACTTCTCTAATTCTTGCATTTGCGGCTTCCACTTCTTGGTTGATAAATCTATATTGGTGGCGAATTTCACCGTCAAATTCTTTTCCTGTTCCGCCTGATTTTCCAAATACTTGGTTTGATATTTCTCATAAAGGCGGAGCGTTGTATAAGAAATGGCACTGATGCATTTCCAGTCCTCGTTCTGCGTCACATTCCTATTCTCGTTAGATCCGCACCTAACTTGATCGCGTATTTCGATACTCTTATTTGGAGATGTGTTCACCACAGTCTCGGTCGAAAAAAGGTCGAAATTAAACTCGAGTGCTTCCGTAAGGCCATGTATTAAGACAATCGGATACTGCTGACAAGTCTCCCACAGCTGCGGATGGAATGCGTCGTCTTTCTTTCGTACGAAATAACGGTGTATCGATGGCAACAATTGCTTCGTATTTAATTGTTCTGTGGGCATATTCGGTACCGAGCAATCGCTTACTAACTGGCATTTTGGCACCTCGTTCAAGCCTTTACCCCTGCAAGCCCTGATGATCGTTGAGGCGTCCAGTGAGAGATTTACTTCCTGCTCCATCTCCAGCCTGGATAGATAAATGTTACGATGAAAGCAAGAAACAGACTCTTTGTAAAATAAGAAATAAGTACACACTAAGGGCTAATTGGAATTCTATCGAACCAGCAAATCGCGATTGTTAACGTGTTTGATATCGGACTGAGGGTAAAGTTGAGCGGCCAAATGAATACAGAGGACATGGATTCAATACAAACAGTTCCCCCACACTGAAACTACTCGGATCATAAATATGTTTTCAATATTCGAAAAGACATCAAGTATAACGTCGTTCCTTATTTATTCCCGAAATAGCTGCGTTACTCGTCCGGTGATACTTTTATATTCTTATGAAGAAAATCCCCTTTGAAACGGGAAACGTATAGTCAACCTAACTGGCTAGTTATTCAATTAGTTTATTACACAACGTTTCGACTCTATTCTTTTGGGTCCTTTTTCGAGTGATACTGCAAATCCGCAACAACGCAGTTATGAAATAACGTAGGTTGATTTAGTTAAAAAGTTAACAAGTTAAGTAACGCACCCAAGTCAGTCGTCGTCGAATAAAACAGAGTCAAGTTATAAAGTATACGTGTGAGCACTGTGGTAGCTGGGCTCGAACTAATTTGTTAGCCATGTCTTAGGAACAATACAAGGTGATATTGCGAACTATACAGTTTGGATTACACAGTCGTATATTACATTTAAGTTTTCGGTGTCTGTTTGTAAATTTAGTGTGTTATCGGTCTTCTTGATAAAAAAAAAACATTTCGGCGATTTCTCTTTTTCTCCTGAGGCTCGCTATGTAAAATCCTTGGTTCCGACCAATTGAACTCGTGATCATGTGATGCACGGTGTTTGCTGACCACGGAGTGGCAGCTTTCGTAAAAGGTATCGTTTGGTTTGTCCAATATATAAGTAAAATTCTGTCTGTCTGTATGTTCTTTATACAATTCTATACCAATGGACCGATCTGAACCAAGTTTGACAGAGTTATTCAGTAAGATTTTGCAAAAAATATAGGCTATCTTTTAATCTGGACAGCCAGCTTTTGCCTCCTGAAATCATTAGAGTTGAAAAGTCAAATCGCAAACCCTGAAATCAGTAACTTTTTATGTCTAAACCCATGGAAAGATCATGACCAAGTTTGACAATGTGACCAATACATTCCTAGTCTTCTTAAGTAAGTCTTCAATCTTAATCTCAAATAACGTTGGAGACACTGCATGTGTTTTTACAAATACTTTATTAAACATTGCAAAGTGTGGTACATGGTATCACAACGTTGTTATATTCATTGCATGTATACGTTACGATTACACATTATACATCGGATTCACGAACACGAATATCTATACGGAGGAGCACAATACGTTCGTCTTTACATTACGATTTCGCTCGCTATAACGCAAGATTGTTACAACTTGTCTTAGAACAATTCTCTTCGCGAATACCATGCTTATCTCGAGAATCAGTACACGTTTGACAAATACAACGCTATTTAAACGCCCTCCCGCCTTGAGGATTCACCCTCCTAATATCTACATTCTACATCTGCAAACAGTTTTTATTAAATCTTCACAGCCAACGACTAAATTAAAAGTCCTCTCGTATCCTTGCACCGTATTCGCATTCCTATTTAAGGATTATAACTTATAATCTGGTACAAGTTTCTTTGGGGGAGCGCAGATCTAACTTTACCTCTACCACGACCAAAGAATTCGCGTAACAATGCCAGCGGAAGCCGATAAACGTCCCCTTCGTAAATCAAAAATTGACTGATCCTCTTAAACCCATCTTGTACATTGTTCGCGTTGTAACTTACATGCAAGATTCACGTGATTAAAGCTCGCGGTCGCACTCTGCTGTTAATATATTAAAAAATCATGACAATTGTATTACTTTGCGATACACAATTTTTTTATATATTAAAAATTATGGAGGCTATTAAAAACGAAAAATCATGAATCCCTTTCCAAAGCGGACAATAGTTTGCGGTGAGGAAAGAAGTCATACGATTTCTCGCCTATGGCGTGACAAACAATTGCAGCGAGGCAACAAGGAGTCTTAATGCGTTACAATGTAAACGGTAAGACGGAGTGCCCCGCACTCCGCGTTAAGTAGTAGCTAGGTTTTGTACATAACGGCAAAGTCAATTCGCCGACTGCTGTAAATATCTAAATTAAGTCATTTCGCGGGACCCAAAGATTACGTAGTACGACTTTCAATCACGCCGTTCAAAGCAATGCGGTGCGCCCTCGAATACAATAGATTCGTGCGACGCGAGACACAAATTAATTTACACTGGTCCGTCCCAGACGTCAAGTCGACGTACACATCTTGTTGCCTGTCTCCGACTAATTCTGAACTGATTCAGCTTCATCCTTACGCATGCTCTGTATACAAGGATTAGATACAGATCGCTCTATATCATTCTTGCGTTATATCATTTCACTAACATAATAGATACAATTTTCACATTTCGTTATCGCACTACTTTATTACGCGAGTCGCACGTAATTTGTAACAAGTCAATATCTCGTTACTCTAAATCTCTAATAAATTCTCAATGGCGCTTGATGGTAAAAACGAATAAACTATTGTATTTACATACTAGACATTATATTACGTAAAAAAAAACAAAGATGTATACATTTTTTAATATTTAATCATACAATTGGCGGGTAACTCTGATGCGTTCTCCATTAAGCTACCGTTAAGAATTTGGCAGATATTTCGAATAATTATATATAATAATAATTATTATTACTATTTAACAATTATTATTATTATATAATAAGACATTAAAGTGTAACGGATCAGGCGACTCACGTGGTACATATCGTATCTTTCATCACACTGAGAATACTACAGTTAAAGCTCGCGAAGAAGTAATCAACGCATGGCATCACCGTCGTCGAAATTAATCTATCTATAAACCTAGCGAAACCGATAAACGTATAAATCTTTCCCGACCAATAATATATCCTCCGTTTTCTCCATTTTATTTTATTAAAAATTGCACAGGAAGCACGACCGGTTCTTCAAAAGCCCTATAACAAACCCGATTGTGACTTAGAACTCTCGGCGTCGGTTGCGGTGTGCAATCATTTAGAAAGACTCGTCTTCAAAATCGGCAGCACATTACAATCAGATATTATTAACTGATCCTTGTAACTAACATGGTTCCTTGACTAATCCTTCGGCTAGGCGAAGAGCGTCTGAAATAATTTACAATATTGACTTAACAATATTCAGTAAACAGCAACCAAGTCACATAACATCAATATTATAAGTCCCTACTCAGCAATGTAACTGCTATGTGCAACACGTGTTATATTACATTTATATTGTTAGGTGAAAAATTATAATATTGATGTTATGCAACTGTTAGTTGATGTTTACTGGGTGGTGACAAATGATAAACATGTATATAATCTAAAATCGCCATGCGGCCGATTTTGGAACTGACAACCGGAACAGGAATCGTACGAGGACGAACGAGGTGAAAGCGAAACGATCAATCGGCTAGAAAGAAAGATTTTACAAATGTCTGCCGACCAGACCTGGCAGGGCGACTCGTGTGTGCAGCGGTAGTGGTCCCGGACTAACTTCTCCCATCATCATCACGGTCCCCAGCTGTCCCACAAAGTATTAAACACACATCAAGAATCGACTCCAGAATCATATCCTCTCTCACATGTATGCCGTTTGACGTTAATCGACTACACTCAACCGGCACTTCAGAAAACCTTTTACGTGTCGCGTACATGAGCTGAGAGAGAGAGATTCCCCGGTGGAAATATTTTACTGAAAATGTAATGAAATTGTGTGTTGAAATGTATTTGAAAATCCCAGTTAACTCCGTTTCATTATCGTTTCATCAACGCTTCAATAAAAATTTAGTAAAATCATTGTAAAACGTTTTCATTAAAAAGTTACACAGCTTTTAGTTAAACTCGCAACAGTAGATTTTATAATATTTATTATTTCATAATTCTGTATTATTTTAACTTTCCTTAAATTTCGCGGTATTATATTGATTTTTACTTAGGAAAATTACGATTCGATAAATTATGAGAATTATTTTGAGATTTTCATTTCACTTTGTCACATTGATTTCATCGTACTTTCAGTAAAATATTTTCAGGATTATTTATACATGAAACGGTCCGGCTGATTATGTGTCATCGAGATAGGCCTGGAAGCTAAGCTTCGAATCGGAACTCGACTTCAAAGCGAATCTAACTCGCGAGGCCAGAAAATGAAACTTCTCTAACTCTCTAAGGCTATTTACAAAAGTTTGTGAGGTATACGCTAATTTGCCAGCAGAAACAGCACATTATACTTCAATTTCGCCGAAATCTACTTTGTATATATGTATGCAATTCTTTATAGTCTGCTGTATATAATACTGTGTATTTTTTATTTTAAAAAAAATTAGAAACGGGATAACAATCAACCAAACCAAACTCGTAGTTTCGTTGCCTAAAGTATCACGCCTAGCAATTACATCACGTCTGCAATATACACTTCGTTATCAAATCATGACAGCAGTTACGTTAACACGAACATAAGTGCATAAGCCTGTAATATCACCGCCAGAGAGATGTATCTTAATAAGACTTAAAGAAATTAAGTGTCCGATTAAGAAAAGAGCCTCCTCGGTAACGTTAGTTTTTAAAGTTATAGTAACGATTCAGGGAAATATATCTTACACTTAACTAACGCTTAATAGTTCGAGACTTACACGTATATGCGTGGACAGGTAACCGGATAACAATTACGAAATTATACACAACACCGGATAGATAAAATATAAATCTTAGACGCCAAACATATCGTGTTCAGAACTGCGATCTACGTGCAGAGCTCCTGACGCTCGTCTGTGAATAAATAACATAAAAATACACAACTAAAAACGAGAGAAAACGTAAAGTAAAGGTAAAGTAAGTAGATAGGTACGTGTGAAGTAGTACATTGCGGCATGCAGATATTAGACGGATAAGTATGCTGGCAGCGCGATTGCGAGATGATTAATGCCAGAGATCTTTTCTGTAAAAATTTACTGCATGCAAAAAAAAACGCTCGAGGATCACAATGGACGAAAAAAGTACCCGCACGTCCCATGCCTCTCATTGTCAGTGTAATCCTGCGCAAAGATTTAATGTAACGAATAAAAATCAGGGTAATTATTTAGATTAACACACCCACCTCCAATAACC